CTCTTGTAGAGATGCGATATCTCCTTAAGGGTTTGAGATAGTAAAAAAAGTATCATTAATGTGTAATAATTCAATATTACGTTGTAATTTCGTTAGCATATGGAAGATCTCCTTGGAGATCTCTGAGATCCCCGATTTCTTAGATCTGTGACACCACTTCTTCACTGATTGGTGTAATTCACGTACACAACATGGCATGAGGGTGAGGGCGCTGTGATTGATGCGATTAAACTAGACAAGTACCTCATCGACTCCTAGTGTTGCCTCTCTACGTGGTAACCTGAATTTGATCGAAAAATAAAAATATCGACACAGAAAATAAAGGTAGATGGCAAAGAACAAGGCTGAGGGTGAGGGCAGAGAGATCTCTACTTTCGTCTACTATCATTTTCAGCACTTCTATCTTTCGACATATATGTTATTTTTCGTTTCGACACTTCTCCTTTCGACGTTATACAGGAGCACCCACCCTGTATGGTATAAATAATCCCCTTCCAATCTTTAACTTATCTAACTTCAAAAAAAGAACATTTTTTTCGATATTTTCGCCTTTCGACATTTTTACCTTCGGCATTTTTGCTTTCGACATTTTTACTTTCGACCAAATTCAGGTGAATCTTATATATATTAATCAACTTACAAACAATGATATTCATTATTTTTCAAAATTATAACTTAATCAATTTTGCAAAAAACTCTAGAGAGCCCGACGCCTCTTATTCTCGATTCTTAAAGTCTGTAATGGAGGGTGTGTCTGTAATGAGGGGTGTCTGTAATGGGGGGTGTCTGTAATGGGGGGAAGGGGGAAAGGGGAGCCGCCAACCTCGAATTGAAAACTTACACTCACTATTTTCTTCGATAACATACGTGAGTTCCACAATAGACTCGAAACCAATTTCGACAAATAGTTAATATAAGAGTGTGAGGGTGAACTGAGCTTTGAATGTGGGTGTCGGTCTTATCCTAACCACCAAGTACATCCCCTCACTCTTGTTAACCGTGATAGACCGTGGTAGAGTTCACAAATAAGTTTCTTTCAAAACATACAGGAATTTTGAATTATCTTGTACTCATTTGCGTCATGACTCGCTACTTTACAAGGAACATATCTAATATAGAAATAATAATAGGGTGTGGCTGTGGGTGTGGGTGTGGGGTGTGGGTGTAGGTGTGGGTGTGGGATGTGGGTGTAGGTGTGGGTGTGGGGTGTGGATGTGGGTGTAGGTGTGAGTGTGGGGTGTGAGTGTGAGTGTGAGTGTGGAGCGTGGATGTGGATGTGGGTGTAGGTGTGGGTGTGGATGTGGGTGTAGGTGTGAGTGTGAGGTGTGGATGTGGGATGTGGTTGTGGGTGTAGGTGTGAGTGTGGGCATGAAAGAAAAGAAAAAACGGATCCACACCTATGTCCCACACTCACCCACACCCACCCCCACACCCCACGCCCCACACCCACACCCACACACCACATCCACACTCCCACACTCCCACCCACATCCCACATCCACACTCCCACCCACACCCCACATCCACACCCCACACACACCCCACATCTACACCCCACACACCCACACTCACTCCCCCATCCACACCCCACACACCCATACCCCCCACTCACACATCCACACCCCACACATTCACACCCATACCCCCCGACTCACACATCCACACCCCACACATTCACACCCACACCCACACCTTCTTTACTATAAACTTACAATATCAATTTCTGTAAATAACATTCAAAGATTACAATATATTTTATTGCCTTACATAATAGTTATTTGAAAATGAGAATACTGAAATAAGTTTGTAGAAGATTTTTACTTTATATTCTGTTTTAATATACTAAAGAAACTTTGATGAATTAATATGTTAGTATAAAAACAAGCGGTGAATAGCGGAATCTTGGAATTCAGATTTCCCTATATTTCTAGGATTCCCTCGAATTCCACAGAATTCCACAAAATTCCGTAGAATTCCATAGGATTCCATAGAATTCCTCAGGATTCCATGGAATTCCATGGCATTCCTAAGGACTCTCAGTAATCGTCGAAGAGGCTATAAAGAGCTACTATCCATGTCACAACAGCTTTTCTTGTGGGCGTCTCGTTTTCCTTTTTTCTTCGTTCGTGACCATCTATATCTGTACATATTGATCTCTAGCTAACTGTATTTGGTTAGGTTCTGATTCTTAGGATTGCCTTATCTCCATCCCAAGCGCAGCAACTGAGCCTGTTTCTCCGTTAATCTATCAATAAATTCAGATCAATTTATTCTAACAGAGCTCGAAATATATTGTAACATCAATGAGTTTCTTTATTAATGGCTAAAATTCGACATACTTTGTTACTAATGATCATCTAATTAGTGTAACAGTATTCAGAAATGTTTGAATCGTTTTTCATTCAATTTTACTTGCTTCGATAACCCATAATAATCTCTCAATCGATGGATGCTAAGATTTCTCAGTCAATAATCGTGACAGACCTAGAGATGCAACGGTGACGATTAGACCTAGGACTGTTCCCAGTTCTATGAACTGTATATTTTCTAAGAACTGAGTATAGTGACCAGTTCTTTTTCGAGAACTGGTTCTTGTAACTAGTTCTTTTTCAAGAACTGGCTACTGTGACCACTTTCAAAGAACTGGTTGAACAGATTAGTTCCTATCAAAGAACTTGTTGAACAGATCAGTTCCTATCAAAGAACTGTTTGAACAGTTCTCAAGAGCGGAACTGATATGGAACTGTCCTAGGTCTAGTGACGATAACCGGTCTAATCGGTAACCGTGCTACCGGTAACCGTTTCTAACCGGTAACCGGTATTAGTCTTACACCTGTGGTATAAACCGGTATATACCGACATTAGCCTTATAACGATGGTATAACGCATGTACTGGCATATACCGGTATAAAGTTTATAGCAGCGGTATTAACCGGTATATATCAGTATTAGCTTCATGCCGCCGGTATAAACCGGTATGAGCCTTATACCAACGGTATTAAGCATATATTGATATGCACCGGTATAAACCGGTTACCGGTGGACGGGGTCCCGGAAGAGACTGGTACCGGCGTGAACTGGTGACATGGAGACGGTGAAGCGGTGATCTACCCTCACTGTTGCATTCCTAGGCTGACCATTCCTATGAATAATTATTGAAATTATTAATTTTGAGTTTGTAATATGGGTATGACTGTGAGTACGCGTGTGCGTGCGTGTTCGCAGACAAGAGCCATATCAACACTTACACCCACCTTTACTCTGTTTGTAAACATCCACCGTACGATGTTTATTTGCAAATGATAAGCTTCTTAATTAAGAACTTAGATTCAAGATTGTTCTTTTTACTGCTTTTATATACATGAAGTTGTCCCCAAGTAGGTGCGGCATTATCGTCAATCCTTCTTTTACCATTGAAACTTTTTAAAAACTTTTTATGTATAAGAATTTCTTCTGTGGTTTTGATACTTATGAACTACATTCTGCTGTGTTGTGTGTTTACTAATTATAAACAAAAACACATACTACAAGAAATAAATTTGCCTAGTTATGATTGAAAACATGAGCTTCTGAATGCGGTATCTATGGAAAATGTTATGAGAGATGTTCTATTAACTGTTTACATATGATAAAAGATTATTCTGCAATTGGAACAAATCTAAGGACTCAAGACTTTAAAATTATATAGAATTCCCTGGAATTTCCTAGGATTCCATAAAATTCCATAGGATTTCATGGAGTTCCCTTGCATTCCATCGAATTCAAGGTTTCCGCTATTCACCCCTTGATAAAAAATCAGTTTATATCTATATATTTCTCTTGTTTGTCTATTTCAGTTTTCCTTGTACCAATCGATAATACCGACCGCCTAGTGCAACTAGTTCTTCATGAGTTCCACGTTCAACAATTATTCCATTATGCATAACACAAATCATATCTGCATTTTGAATAGTTGATAAACGATGTGCAATTGTGATTGATGTTCGATTTTCTTGAGCACGATCTAACGCTTCTTGAACTAATTTTTCACTTTCACTATCCAAAGCACTTGTTGCTAAACAAATGTATATAATAAATTGATCATAATATCAATTTTTATTTCTTCTTACCTTCATCAAGCAATATAATTTTTGGATTTCGAATTAAAGCTCTAGCAATAGCTAAAATCAAAATATAATCAATAAATGAAACGAAAAAAAATTCTCAATATTATCTAACCAATTCGTTGTTTTTGTCCACCTGATAATTGTATTCCTTTTGAACCACAATTTGTTTCATACCCCTTTGTTTTTATAAGAGAGAGTATTTTTCTATAGCTAAAGAAAAATAAACCAATTATAACTTACATTTGGAAGACCTTGAATAAAATCATGAATATTAGAATTTTTAGCTGCCCTAATTATTTCATCAAGTGGAATATCTTTTCGACTAGAATCACCATAAGCAATATTTTCACGAATTGACATATCAAAGAGAATTGGTTCTTGTGAAACAATACTAACTAATAAAAAGACAAAAAGTTTCTATATATTAGATAGAAAAGACATTTTTATACGTACTTTGTGATCGATACCATTGTAGATTAAGACTTCTAACATCTTTTGAGTCAGCTAACTACAATAGAAAAAAAAACAAATAAAAATACGAATAGAAAGAAAACTTTTTTACCAAACAACCAATATTTGGGTCATAAAATCGTTCAATTAATTGAATAGTTGTAGATTTTCCACAGCCAGATGTGCCTGTACAAAACAAAAAATTTTCGAATGATCTATTCACAATGAACAATGAGAAAATTGTACGTACCAACAAGTGCTATTTTTTGACCTATGAGAAAATAGAAAAAGTTTAATGAATATGCGAGAAAAATGAAAAAAAAGAATAGATACCAGCTTTGATATTAAGTCTAAAATTTCTAAGAATAAGTAATTCAGGTCTATTTGGATAGACAAAATCAACACCATCAAATTCGAGTTGTCCTGAGAAATTAGGCTATAAAAGGAGGAGTACAATTAAAGTGTGTATGTTGGAAATATCAATGATAATGTTCACTCACAATTTCATCGCCATCGTTTGATTCATTATTGATCATAGGTTTTCGATTTAAGAGTTCAAAAATTCTTTCAGCAGCTTCAATCGCTTTTCCATAGTCTGGAGATCTATAAAGGAAAACTTTTTTATCTTGTATATATATCATTGAAAATCTTACAGCGTAAGGGTCTGAGTTGCAATTTCAGCAGTAGCTGTCACAGAATTAAAAACCCTAGAAAGTTAATTAAAATACGTTATTTGGTGGGAAAAGAATTACAAATTGATACTGGTCTTTCGTCTTACATGTACATATCCTCAAATGTGATTATATCTTGATTAACAAGAGAAGTACCGAGCGAAATAAGAGCTGCCGACGCGAAGAGTGCACTCGAAGCTGATATTGAGAAGAGAATGCCGGAAAGATGAGCTCGTTTGATTGCTGATCTACAGAAACCTTTATTATTTGATAAATATGAAAAACAAATGAAATTTACCGATAAATAATGTTGAGTAAGTGAGAATATTCATTATAAAAATACGTTTCTTTTGTTAATTGAGCCACTATTCGAATATTTTGAATTGTTTCCACAATCACCTAAAGTATAAGAGATGTAAATTAATGAACATATTGGGTTGGTAAGAAATTTTTGTCGTTTTTTTTCGTAACTTCCTAGAACAGTCAAGAAAGTTCTAGAAGTTTCCATACTAAGGGTATATAAAGGGAGTGTAAATATCTTTCGAACAACAATATAAACTATGGATATACAGGCTAATCTCGAATTAGAAATGAAGATATATCGTAGAGAGCTTCGAGTGCTTCTGCTTCATGAATTCCGTTTGGGTCACAAAACAACAGAAGCAACAAGCAACATATGCCATACGATGGGCAAGGATGCGCTCTTCATTCGTACAGCGCAACGTTGGTTCAATCAGTTCAAGAACGGTAACTTCGAACTCGATGATTTACCTCATACTAGAAGACCACTAGAGGTGGATATGGATCTCTTAAAGGAGCTTATCGAAGAAAATCCTAGATTGACTACACGGTGTTTAGCAGAGCGTCTTGGATGCTCTCATACTACAGTGAAAACACATCTGCACGGATTAGGCAAAACGTGGAAATATGGAGTTTGGATACCACATGATTTGTCACCACATTAGCTCCAACACAGAGTTGATGCTTGTATGGAATTAATGACGTCTCATCGCAACTACCAATGGCTTTACAATCTTATTACCGGCGATGAAAAGTGGGTATTGTATGTTAACCACACGCGCAAGCGGCAGTGGCTGGGAGTTGGACAAAAAGGTGTAGCAACACCCAAAGATGACCATAACCAAAAGAAGATTATGCTGAGCGTTTGGTGGGGAGTAAGAGGGATTATTCATTGGGAACTTCTTCCAACTAATTGCACTATCACTGCTGATCCCTATTGCCAGCAATTAGACCGGGTTGCAGCAAAACTTCAGGGGAAGCAGGATGGAATTTATTTTTTGCATGACAATGCCAGACCCCATATTGCAAAATCGACGCGTGAAAAATTATTGGAGCTCGGATGGGTTACGGTTCCACATCCATCTTATTCTCCAGACTTGGCTCCTACGGACTACCATTTGTTCCGTTCTCTTTTTAACCATTTGAAGGAGAAAAAGTTCGACGACAAAAACGACCTGGAAATGGATCACCTCAACTTTTTTGGCCAAAAGTCGCAGGACTTCTATGAACGCGGGATCCTTTCTCTATCAGACCGTTGGCCACAAGTCATAGATAGCAATGGAGCATACATTGTTGAAAGCTAGCTGTATTCTTGATATTAAAAAATAAAAAGAAAATTTTCAAAAAAAAACGACAAAAGTTTCTTACCAACCCAATAAATTAAATTTTTTAATCATTGAAGATGAAAACTTTATTTGTAGTTTAAGTAACTCAGATATATCAAAACCTAAATTGTTAATGAGTGTATACATGTATTTCAAGTCATTATCATTTTCAATGATATAGGAGATATGAAAATTAATGAAGTATATGGAGAAATTTAGAGGCATTTTATGAAGTGATGGATTTGTAAAAATTGTATATATTTTATAAAATATCCATTTAGTTATTACTAGGCATGCATCAAACCCAAACAGTTTGGGTTTGGTGAGCTTGGGTATTGAGTTTGGGTTTGGGTTTGGGTATTCAGTGTGGCTTTCAGTTCCAGTTTGCTATATCAACTCACTGAACTACTGGACTTTGTAAGTAGTGCTATTTATATCAAATCTCTTCTCTATATTTAACTATTTATTCTGTATAAATATAAGCAAAAGCATATTTCTATGCTTCACATTGTTAAACAGTGACATAAAGTCGTTCTCAATCCCAAATAGATTGCTTGAAGAATGGATATTTTTGATCGGTTTGCCTACGGTCTGATTGATGGAGAATCGAAATCACATTTCTCAGTTAGAGAAGTGATTGTTCAATGTTCTGTGATACTCAAATATTGGTTTTTGGGGAGGGAATAAGGAACCCGAGTTCGAGCTCTATTTTCTTGAGACTGAAGGGTGGCCTACAATGAATGAGAATCTCCGCCTTTTTGCAATATATTCTTTAATTTTCATCGTTTTGGACTGAATATTTTCTGAGCCGTGCAGCATTTGATTCTTTAACAAACCGCATACATATGGATGTCACAGGAGTAAAAGCAAAAAGCGATATTTTAGTAGTGCCGCAAACATTCAATTTCAATAACGTTGAAGCTTGAAATGCAGCTCGCTTGTGTTTATGGGTTGCCATATCACGCTGGATTAACAAATGTACTGTCTATTGTGTGACATTGGCATGAATTTTGGAAGAAAATAGTGAGTGAAAGTTTCAAACCAAGTTGTTCCGGCTTCCATCTCCTCCCCATCATAGGCCAAGGCCAGGCATGCCCATATTATAGACTTTAGTAACCGGGGTTAAACACTGAGTATTTGCCAGTCTTATTAGTCATATAATCCAATGCTTATAATCAAGTCAGAATAATGAAGTTAAAGAAGATATAAACGCCAAGTCTTTTTGAAAATTTCGCATCCACAACTATCAAAAACAAAGAGATATTGAGGAAATACTGCGAAGGACTTTATTCTGGTCGGTCCTCTGGAAGTGCTTTTGCAATTAGTTGGTATTTCACGTCTGTAATATTACAACAATAACGTCTTTTATGTTATTTCTATGAAACACATCTTTTTATGACTTCGTGCACAATGAAATGCTCTGTTTTTTGTAAGAAAACCCCATCCGAATCCATGAGAACTAGAGAAGATACGAAGAAAATACGGAAACACTCATGTTTTCATGAGTCAATTTTAGATCAGCGAGCTCTAAAAACAACAGAAACGCATTTTCGAAAAGCGGTTTCGTAGGATTTAAACCCAAACCAACAATGTGCATAGTTAGTAGCTGTGATGCAACCATACATACACACCCACATTGCTATGCTTATTCACGCTTCCCGACATCCGTATTAACACGTCCATTGGCTGAACTTCCAAGATTCACCAACTTCATAGATTCATAGCTACATAGCCAACGACTCTGAGTGATCGAACAATATATGTAAAAGACCTCAAAGTTACTGAGTCAGAGACCTATAAAAGCTCATTGCTTGATCTTAATCAAAGAATCAGAGCTCAGTAAAATATATCAGCATGTGAAAACTCAACCTTTCGAGATAGAGAATTGTGTTCCAAGGCACACAGACTGCAAATTGAAACATCCATTTTCTGACTATCTATTCATGGAGCTTTGCACCCGAAGTGAGAGATTTTAATTCCAATATAATTCATTTCTTAGCGATATCAGTTTTTAATCTCTGTTTGTCGCGACAATATCTCAAATATATACATAGCGATTATATAGAAAAATCCCATAGATTGTGAGGAAGAAAGAGAGATTCGTAAAACAAAGCTAAACTTAGAAGATCAAAAGTGGGGGGAGGGGGCACGTCCATCGTGTAAACGTATAAGTGAAAGGAAAAATACCATCACATATACGAATCTGACTGGAAAGAAAAACCTGTGATGCACGACTAACGACAAGAGAAGAGGAGAAAAATTAAAGTGTATTTGTATGATCATAAACAGAAAAACTCCTTATGACTACATCTGCAAAAGGTTTAGCATCTAACATGAAGTTCCATATCTACTGGCGCATGACTCCATCAAAGTATTTTTATGGCTGTATAGCTGTGATTCAAATCGTCGTCTCAAACTACCCTAGAAGAAGAAGACGAAAAAGAATAACTTGTCTTTCAGTTGCTTTGCAAAAAAGGATACTGTCTTAAGACAGTTTCGAAGGTCCGATATTCTTCCTACAACTATTATTAGCTATAGATCTGGATAGACAGCCGGCATGGCTCAGAGTTCCTTCCGTTTAATTCTTGAAACTCGCCGTGCATGTTGGCTAACCACATGGTAGCTACAAGGGTTTTTGTGTGTGTGCCAATTACGTAGTTAGAGTCCTGCCACATATTCAGAAAATCTAGGATACTGGAGAAGTGTAGGGAGATGCAAGCGGTACCAAACTATCTACTTATAGACGATTACATTATGTGTGTTTTCTTGTGGGTTCATGTTTTCTTCCACACCCACAATAATGAGATGGAGCTGTATTTATTTCCGTGTGTCCTCGCGTTTTGACCCTCATCCACACTCGTGAGATGTCGCTCTGTGTGTCCGTATGTGCTCGTATTTCCTACTTTATCGTCTCTGTAAAGATATGTTTAGAGATGCCGAATCTCTTGGGGAGATGTGCTTGGAGATGCGGCATCTCCTGCGGTCTGTGGATCTCCTGCTGGAATCTCAGGCTGAAAATAAAATAAAACATTTTCATCCGGAGATACGTTATCTTCTGGAGAGACGCTGCATCTCCAAGCACTTCTCCCCAGGAGATTCGGCATCTATCAAGGAGACTCGGTATCTAAAGAAGATGCAGCATCTCTCTCATTTTCCTGCATTTGCTCAGCATACCCAATTTCCTGGGTGTACGACACTGCTGCGTAGTCGGTGAACCATCGAATGGCAAACTACTCTACAGAGAGTATCTCTCCAAAACGTTAATTTCTGTTAGCTCCTGATCTATCAACGTACTTTGGAGCGAAATGAGCTTCGGTTTTGGGTTCCTCCCTCTAAAAACCACCCATGTAAAAGAAAAGTGAACCAAAAGTCACTTTTTATCACTTTTAATAGTAATAAAGTAAAACAAAGTAATTTTTCTTACTATTTTTCACTTTTTATAGTACTTTTTGATAATTTTTCCACTTTCTGTAGTACTTCCTCATACTTTTCCTGCTTTCAAAAGTACTTAACAGTACTTTTTAGTCAAAAAGTATGAAAAGTACTTTTGAAAAGGTTTACTTATAAGTACTTTGTTCTGCTTAAAACCTACTATTGAAAGTACTTAATAGTGACCTTTTTGGATAAAAATTTTTACATGGGCAATATTTGAGTATCACAGAACATTGAACAATCGCTTCTCTAACTGAGAAATGTGATTTCGATTCTCCATCAATCAGACCGTAGGCAAACCGATCAAAAATATCCATTCTTCAAGCAATCTATTTGGGATTGAGAACGACTTTATGTCACTGTTTAACAATGTGAAGCATAGAAATATGCTTTTGCTTATATTTGCACAGAATAAATAGTTAAATATAGAGAAGAGATTTGACATAAATAGCACTACTTACAAAGTCTAGTAGTTCAGTGAGTTGATATAGCAAACTGGAACTGAAAGCCACACTGAATACCCAAACCCAAACCCAAACTCAATACCCAAACTCACCAAACCCAAACCTAAACTTCCAAACGGTTTGGGTTTGGTGCATGCCTAGTTTTTACGTTGATAGAATCTAATATTCTAAGTCTTTGAACGAAACATTCATATATCTAAGCTTTACTTTTCCCATTATACACGTTCGAAAGAACAAAATATCGAATTTCTCTCTAAGGCACTACACTGATTTTTAAGATATACGTAAATATCTTTCATAACATAATAATTTTTAGATATTGAACATTCTCATATATCGGGAAACTTGACGAAATACATCCACAATCATTAATTGCTTACATGTTTAATCTCATCAACTTATAAACTATTCTCAAACCTTCCCAGCATCTTCTATAAATTCTTTGTCTTTGCTTTCAAATGCAGCTGTCACACGAATCTGTAAATAGGCTCCAAATATCATCAACGGAAGGAAAGCGATCGTAAGCAACGTCAATTGCCAGGAAAATACGAATCCAATAATAATACCCATGCCTATTGACACAAAATTTTGACAAAAGAAACCAAAACGAATACCGCTTGCGCCTTGTACAGCTGATGCTTCAGTTGCTAAGCGTGTACATAATACACCTGTATTATGTCTTGCTTGATCAAAATAATTAATTTCTTGACGAAGAATAGCACGAAAAGCTTCTGAGCGAAGTCGTTTGGTGAGAGTTTCACCAGAATAAGCAAACATACAACTCTGAAAAGAAAATGTATGTAAAAACTTATTATACAAACTATCGAAATACATACTTGAAGTGTTTGAGATATTAGACCTACAATTCCCAAACCAATATGAAGTAAAGCATAGAGAATAATTTTTTGATTTCGAGCATCTTTATCACAACTTTGAAAGACCTTTCAAATGAATAATGTTTTAAAAGTTAAGCACTACTCAAGCATTTACCACTGTCATTTTGGTCCGAATGATAGAAAACGATGGTTCTAGTGCTCCAGTGAACAAAGCTGCTATACATCCGATTACAATCAGTATCCACTCTGGTTTATTTATTCGTAATATAGCCAATGTTATGTTTTGCTTTCTCTCCTATGGTAATTATATTCAGTACAAGTATTTAACCATTTCTCATTACCTTTTTTGTTTTAATCTTTTCATCATCGTTTTCTTCCCGATTTTCATCTATTCTGGAATTTTTCTTTTCATACAATACATCCAATGTTGATGGAGTAATACTAACTAATGTTGAGCTGCAATTTCTTTTAATATTCGAATTATCTAAACATAGTTGATCAGAAAGAAGTATCTTTGCAGCTTGTTGTTGTTCAAATTCTAGTTCTTCTTCTTCTTCAGCTTGATGTAAACTTTGTTGTTCAATAAGAGTAAAGTATGTACCACGAATGCTCATTAAAGAATCATGATCACCTTCTTCAACAATTTCTCCCTTTTGCATCACAATGATTTTATCAGCATTACGAATCGTTGATAAACGATGTGCAATTACTAATGTTGTTCGACCTATTGATAAAAAAAAACAAAATCATAAAACAGTAGTTGTATTTAATATAACGCACCTTTAGCAGTACGATATAAAGCGTCCTGTACTATCTTTTCACTTTCATTATCAAGTGCACTAGTAGCTATTGAACAAGGAAGAAGATAATAGAACAATCAAGAGAAAATGAAAATAGAGACAAAATTTTACCTTCATCAAGAAGTAAAATTTTCGGATTTCGAATAAGTGCTCGAGCGATAGCTAAAAATTCAATAATAAAATCACAGATATAAGTTATGTTTTCACAAACCAATTCTTTGCTTTTGTCCACCGGATAATGCAGCTCCACGTTCACCTACTTGGGTTTCATATTTCTACGCAAAATATTATTGCTAATAATGTAAGACAAAACAAATAGATTTCATACTTACATCAGGTAGAGTCATGATAAAATCATGTGCATTAGCCATCTTGGCTGCTTCATGTATTTCTTCATCAGTAGCTGAATCACGTCCAAATAGAATATTTTCACGAATAGTTGCATGAAATAAAATAGGTTCTTGACTAACAACACCAATATGTTGTCGTAACCATTTCAAATTGTATTCATTAATTTGTTTTTCATCAATGAATATTGATCCTGAATCTTGATCATAGAATCGTTGTAATAATTGTATACATGTTGATTTTCCAGAACCAGATGAACCAATAAGAGCAACAGTCTGACCACGCTTGACATCGAATGATAGATTAGTAAGGACTTTAACATCTCGTCGTGATGGATAAGAGAAATGCACATTTGAAAAACGAATATCACCAATGAGATCATCTTTTTTGAGACCTGTCTCTGAATCACTATTAATTGTTGACGGCTATAAATCAATTAAGAAAAAATAAAGCAATATAATATGTGTATACATATGAAACAAGAATGTTTATTTACTTCGTCGATGACTTCCTGTACAGTGTAAGCAGCAACTTGAGCTTGAATTAATGCTTGAAATTGTGGACTAATATGTTCCAAACTGTAAACAGAGCTGGAAACGGCCAGAAAAACCTAAAAATATATGTTATGTATCAGTAATTGGAAGAAAATTGATCGGGTATAATAATAGAATTAACATGTTTTTAAATTTGAAACAAACGAAAGAAATGCTAGGTAATTAATAGCCGTTGTTTTTTGAAACATGATCTAAAAGAAGTGTTGAAGCATAGGCGAAGAAATTTGGACTACCATAGTGAACGGTATACGAAAGCCAGGCGACAAAAAAATTTTCAATTTTTGCGAAATTTTTAGAGAAATCTCTTTCATCATAAAAAGAGCATATACCATTTTGATGTGCTTTCATATAAAATAATACTTGAGCTATTCACATGTCGTACCTATTAAAAAATTAAAATACAAGGAAAAAATTTTTGTCGCTTGCCTGTTCATTGTACCGTATCTCTCTTTCCTACCCAGACAGTGACAGACATTACCATGGAAGCGTTATAGACCGTGCAAAAAGTGACTCATGTACCATTACACACACCTTAGCAACGCATCTTTCCGCCGTCACAGACCGCGACAGGCATAGTCACGAAACAGAATTTTATTACGAAAGTGCTGTAAAACACGGGTGCATTTAAGATATCTGTCTTTCTCCCTCTTTTCACAGCCATTGTAACATATTATTATCAACATCTTTCATCATGAATGCATATTTATAATATGCAGTAATTCAAAAATTGAAATATATGTTGCTGAATTCCCTAATTTACAGTATAAGCAGTTCTATCGTGTTTCGAATTATAATTCTGCAGGAACAGCATCGACAGTTATTTTACTTTTTTCATTTTATCTTATTTTAAAAATTGAGATTTCATCGATATTCTATGGTTTACAAATATAGAAACATAGAAATCCTTCGTCATATGCGTTGTAACTAAACTTACGTTAGTTTCATATTAATTCCAATGTTGAGAACTGTTTAAAAGTTCTTTTGAAAGGAACTGATCTATACCAATAGTTCTTTTCATACGAACTGATCTGTTCCGACAGTTCTTTCACATAGGACCTGATCTGCTTCACCAGTTCTCTGGAATGGAATTGAACTGTCCCAAAACATTTTGTTTCCATAAACAGAACAAAACTGTTCTATTATTCAAGAAATTTTCCAGTAACAGAACAATTTGGTTCTGTTTTTAGAAACAAAATTTTTTTTAGGACACTTCAGCTCCGTTTAATGGAATTGTCGCAACAATTCTTTTGAAAGGAGCTGATCTGTTTCCACAGTTCTTTTGAGTAATTTAACCAAACTTATGAGCTTGGACCGTTATAGTTCTAGCTCTAATTAATGTAATCCAATAAAATGAGAGATAATTGATAAAATATCGAGAAATATCATATAGAGAGAAATAAAGTATGTATCCCTATCAGTTACTTTTTCATTACTCGATTCTACGAGATTAGCAAGCAGTCGTTTTCAAAGAGCGTCAAATGTCTCTTTTTTAATGACTGGACTCGACTCGACATATTCCCAGGTCGAAGATTCCGACCACCGGATCCCACAAGATCCTGCAGGAAAGATGCAGGTAAATTCACTGTATCCTGCGGGAAAACACCGGAAGTCACTGGAACAGGGTGGCAATATTCCGGTCGGAAAATTTTTGGATTTTTTCCGGTGGCTTCCGGTCAATTTCCTCGCGTTTTCTGCAGGAAATTGTCCAGAATTCACTGGAAAAAATCTGAAAATTTTCCGGCCGGAATACTGCCACCATGTTCCAGCGACCTCCTGTGTTTTCCTACCGGAACTCGCCCATACTTCTCGACCTGGGTTGCTTCTTTCAGCTCTATCCGACTCGAGGTCGAATGATTTTTTTCTAAGCTGACCGATTTGTGTCGGTCTTTGATCATTTTGTTGGGCACACTTGATCGATATTGCAGATAACGGGTGGACCATAATAAATGTTCCAATGTTCCAATTTTGCATTTTATTTTTCCACAACTTAATACGTTGTATTAGAAAAACAAAATATACCACAGGATGCAGCGTAAAAAGCTCTACAATTTATACAAGGCAGCTTTTCCTACAGTTACACTTTTTGCTTTCAAAACCGATAAAATATAGAGCGATCAAATTTTGACTGTGCGAAAATGATTTTTTTTTTTGGTAAAAGATGAATTCGTTTTTTCTCGTTTCATCTTTTTATTACCTGATATCTTCTATTTAAAAAGAAAACAAAACATACCATTAGATGCAACAGGAAAAGCTCTACAATTTCTACAAGACAGCTATTCTTACAGTTGTACTTTTTGTTTTCAAAGCTATCAAAAATTCTGAGCGATTAGATTTTGATGCTGCAAAAAAGTCATTTTTCAATACACGACCAATTTATTTTTTTCTTACTTATCATCTGATGTGTTTTATTAAAAAAATAGCAAAATACATCACAAGATGCAGCTTGACAAGCTCTACATTTTGCATGCAACAGCTTATTATAATCGTTTTGTATAAAAGCAAAATTCTCTGCGATCAATTTTCGCACAGTCGAAATTTAACCGCTCCAAATTTTGATCACTTGTAAAGTAAAAAGTGCGACTATAAAAAAACGGTCTTGTGTAAATTGTAGAGCTTTTCACGCTGCATGTTATGGTATATTTTGTTTTTTTAATACAACGTATTAAGTTGTGGAAAAATGAAATGCAAAAGTGGGACATTTATTATGGCCCACCCGTTAATATAAATTGAAAAAAATATTAGCTCGAATTATTGAAAGTTGCTCTCTATGTATCGCAAAAGTCAACTTTTCTATATAAATGTCAAAATACACTGTCCAAATTACATAATAAAGCGAGAAAATTTATCGTCTCAACTGAAACCCAAAAATTGTCTTATAGTTGTAATGGAGAGCAGCCTTTCTCATTCGATCATTACTATTATTCAAAAATTGAAATGACAGAAAATTTGAATCAAGTTTCTGTGAATTTATTCTATTATAACTGAAAATTTATTTCTTACTTGCTGTTTCGTTGAAGAGAAAATGAATGTTTAACAGATGATATGACTGAAAAAGATGTATGTTGCGAATTAAAATTAAATTCTTTCTAAAGAAATATTGCTAATTGTTTTATTCAGTTTATCATTATAAGTCCTTTTTTCGACTTTTCTAACAATCATCGATATACATTTATCATGTTGTCATAATACGAGACAAAATTTTTCAATGTAGAAAAGGAAGGCAAAAGACAGGACGGATATGATAGCAAAATTGGCCCTATTTGAAAATTATCAAAAAACCCCACTACTTTATACCCCTTGTCTCTATTATTCGAATAGACACTGCGCTTTTTATTGTACACAGATAGCTGCTAGTATGCCCGACAAAATTGCAAAGCCATGAGGGTTTGAAATGCTTGACCAATACCTTTTAATAAAACCACAATGGTATTTCTATACATAATATATAGGATTTTGTTGGGCATAGAAATGCCATTGTGGTTTTTATTAAAAGGTATTGGCCAAGCATTTCAAACCCTCATGTCTTTGCAACTTTGTCGGGCACACTAGCAGCTAGCTGTGTACAATAAACAGCGCCGGTATCTATTCGAATAATAGAGAAAAGGGGTATGAAATAGTGGGACTTTTTGGTAATTTTTAAACAGGGCCAATTTTGTTAGCGTATCCGCCCTCGTCCTTTAAAAACTTTAGACAAAATGTAGGAGACAATATATAAAAGAGATGTGTTATATGATGAAATGAACGATCACTGATATTTTTAGTAAATTTGAGTTATTCCTGCACACTTACAGTGTAAACATTACCAATACTATAGTTTTCTTCTTGAATCAATTTTGCTCCATACCAAAATCCTATTATAGAAAATACAAATCGATACATAGTGAACTAATTTGAAATAAAGGGAGAGAAAGTATACCTAATCCAAATAAACTATATAATATACACAACTGTATGGCCTTTGTAATACCATTGGCCACATTTTTTTTGATGCCACTCTTTTTAGCATCATCAAGAGATTGTTCGTACCTGAACAATAAAAATTTTTTCTTGTGCACTCAAAACAACTATGGATCTTTTGATAAATAAAGTGTTTCATAAGTTTCGACCCCATTTTTATTTTTACTTTTGTATCTGCCATATTGAAAGATGAATAGGCATTGGATATATATCGATATATCGGCAAAATCAGGCAAAACGGGACATACGCCCTTTCAGATGACTTTGACTTTTTACAAGGATGGTTTTTCTGAATAATTTGTTTTAGTATAGACATACGTAAAAATGTTGACTCTTTCACATGCCACCTAATTATAATTAATTAAGTAATTAAGAAGTAATTAGTGAATATCTCGCTAACAATGCCAGAAAAAAAACCAAAAATTTCAGTAGATGCCTAATTTGAGTTCGAATATAAATGGAACTCTCGAAAAAAATGCCAGGACCCCCTGTTAGTTTAGTAAAAAAAATTCGAATTATTAATTTCAGTAGTGTCAAACTTGAAACGTGAATTGAATTGAAGTTTCAACTTTCAAGTATAAAGCTTCAATGATAAAATTTCAAGATGGTCCCGTCCCACCGTCACCTACTGTGATGATCTGTGCATGACATTCTGGGGTAGTTGTGATTACTGAAACTCCCTTCGCCGCACCCTCACCTGCTGCGTTGATGTGTGCGTGACATTTTGTACTAGTAGTGATTCTTCAAAGTGATTTCGGTTTGAAAATTGAAAATTGAAATTTATATTGAATTCAAAATTCAAGTTTGACGTAAATCAATTTCTAGTAACTGAGGTGATGCTAGTAGCAACTCAGCAGATGCTTGTAGCATCATAGATGTTCCATATAGCATCCTAGCTGTCGATTGCAGCATCATATGTGATGCTACTAGCATCTCAGATGATCTGTAAGACACCGTCGGTGATGCTAGTAGCATCCTCGGTGATGTTAGTACACTGAAAAAAAATTGATACAATACCGAACCAAAAAGAGTACTGTAGACGGAACAAGGTTTCGTACATAGTACGAAACCTAAAACGGTTTCGAATTCGTTGCAATTATCCGAACTATTTGAAGTTCGATACACACCACTTCGAAAAACTTGAAAAAATATCCTAAGTCAGTAACAATCAGTTTCAGGCAGTCGAAGTTTTGCACGAAATCTTTTCAGGGTTTCGTACTGCCTTCTAAAATGGTTCGGTACACTGGAAAAAAATTGTATGATTACCGAACCATTTTAGAAGGCAATAGGAAACCCTGAAAAAGCTTCGTGCAAAACTTCGACTGCCTGAAACTGATTGTTATTGGCTTAGGATGCTTTTTCAAGTTTTTCGAAATGGTGTGTACCGAACTTAAAATGCGCCGGATAATTGCAACGAATTCGAAACCTTTTTAGGTTCCGTACTATGTACGAAACCTTTTTTCCATCTACAATACTCTTTTTGGTTCGGTATTATACCAAATTTTTTTAAGTGTAGTATCCTAGGTGACGCTAGTAGCATCCCAGGTGATGCTAGTAGCAACCTAGGTGATGCTAGTAGCATCCTAAGTGATGCTAGTAGCATATCAGGTGATGCTTATAGCATTACAGATGATAGTAGTAGCAACTGAGGTGATGCTTGTACCATCGTAGGTGATGGTTATAGCATCCTTGGTGACGGTGCTGGCATTCAAGGGCATGATTGTAACATCCAAAGTGTTGCATGTAGCATCTCATTGCATTCCTGTAGGAAAACAGCTTCAGGAAATTTTTATCTCATTTATAAATTTATAATTCGAATTATAATTCGCATAATTTTTTTTTGGTCGGATGTAAGTGCCGGCCGAATTGTTTATTTATTTATTTTCGAATTCATCCTAAGTACTACAATGTTCATTTATATTATAATTCGAATTAGGCAACTCATGAAAAATTTCAGGATGGACTGTACGACACGAACTACAGTTAGTAAAATAGTATCCGACCACCCTGTGCTAGTCTCTTGCAAAGACCTTATTCAAAGAAATACTTTAAAAAGACGGATTCTTGTGAAACTAATGTCTGATAAAGAACTTTGTTTGCTCTATCCAATGAAGGTAGTTGGAGAAGAAAAAGAACATGTTTCCCAATTGAAAAAAATTTTTTGTCAGAAAGCATGAAATTTTCGGGATAAAAGAGCCGTGTCAGATTTTGTGATCCACTTGAATTAAAAAAAACAAGTATGCATTTTTGTAGAGCAGCTCACGGCGCATTGAATGGTATATAGGAAGTCGCATTTTCGTTAAGTCTTGCTGCATTCAGAATTCATATACTTCTTGGAGGCATATACTGAGTAAAAAGTATTGGAGCGTCCTGACCCATTTTCAGTATTTGCCACTTTTATTGGGTGAGAATATACACTACAAAAGTTCTGTTTTCAAATATGGATAGCCAGGCGTGTCCTGCACCGACACTAAAGAAACCAAGGTCACAGACCCTTTCTAGAACTATTGACAAATTTTTCAATATAAGAAACGGATTTTTGCGCATGCTTATCCACTGCATATCGCCAGCAGTATATGGATTCTTAATGCAGCAAGACTTGAAGAAGATGCGACTTCCTATATACTATTCGATGCGCCGTGAGGTGCTCTACAAAAATGCATAATTGTTTTTTTTAATTCAAATGGGTCAGAAAATCTGACAGAGGCTTTTTTCTCGAAAATTTCATGATTTTTGACAAAAAAAAATTTCAATTGGGAAACATGTTGCTTCTCTTCTCCAAATACCTTCATTGGATAGAGCAAACAAAGTTCTCTATCAGACATAAGTTTCACAAGAATCCGTCTTTCTAAAGTATTTCTTTGAATAAAGTCTTTGCAAGAGAGTTGAACAGGATGGTCGAATACTTTTTTTACCAACTGTATATATCCATGGCCTCTTCACCTTTGAATATGACAAAGATGCAAAAAAAAATTAAAAATAAAAATCGGGTCAAAACTTATGAAACACCCTTTATAATACAAACCGCTGTATTTCTTTTTCTTGACCATTGTACGATAGAACAGTACGAATTGAAGTAATTACTTCTTCAGCAACCGCTCCGGCTTTTCTATATGCGTTTAGTTCAATCGTAGTCAAGCTCGTAATAAGCTATTGATAAACAAACAGATTATTCCAGCAATAATAGTTTCAGTGTAAAACTATCCTACTTTGGATGTAATTATGAATGTTGTAACTATTACTGGTAATGTGGAGAAAATAACTAATGCTAATTTCCATCCTTTGACAAAACCTATATTATGAAATGAGTAAAAATTTTTCGTCTAATGAATACTCCGATAGAAATAGCCTACCAATAATAATACAACATATAAAAATCGAAATCGTATCTATTAATGCACCAAGTTTATCACCAATACCATCACGAATTTTATTGATATCATCTGATATAAGTGTACTAAGTTCACCTGTCTTATGAGTGTCAAAATAGACAATATCTTTTTTGAGAATTGATTGAAATAAAGTTTGTCGAATAGTTCGAGTTTGTCTCTCTGCTGTTATATTAAAAGCTGTTACTCGAATATAACCACATATAATAATAACACAACCGATTACTATGAAAAATATTATTTGATTTTTTGTTTGGTCTTTGAGATCAAAACTAATATTGGTAAAGTTTGATCCAGTAAAATTACACAATCTAAATATAATTCATTATCTGTTTTATAAAAATTTTATGGGAATGATCTTACGACATTGATGCATAAAAGTTAATCGACGTCAGCATGACACCTGGTGGACAGTATTCTTGAGTAAGAGAGGTGAAATTGAGTGAACATAAATTAGTCTCTCGATCAGTAAATGAATCGATCGAATTACCAAAAACAACGAAAAATAAAGGATTAGTAGCACCAAATGCTGCAGAAGTAATGATTGCCAATAACATGTAAAGTAAATCAGCAAAAGTAGCATATCGAAACTAAAGAGTAAACAAAAGCATAGATCAATCAAAGAATTATTTAATGTTCTTTTACCAAACTTCGAATGCTCACTGCTTTAGTTGGTTTTCTATTTTGCTTTTTCATGTGAAATCGTTGCCAAAAATTGACTTTCATAGATTGTTCTTCCTTCAAAGAATTCATTCTGTAAAAAATGACAAAAAAAGAAAATTTTAATCTAAATGATTATCTTTCATACTTCTTATCTAGCATTTCACTCGGTTCTACATGATTCATATTTCCATTTGCTGTCGTTTTATTCGAATGTTGGTTATCAAACATTGCACCGTTCTATTTTTCGATGATGAATATAAAATAATGGATCAGATTCGTATTTTTTTTACGTTATTTCTTTACTGTTATATCTTTTCTTCAAATAGGCTCGTATTTATATCAAACTTGACTATTGACAAGTAGGCACGACAGGCGAAAAAAAATAATTATGATTCTTCTAGTTATTTACCATAACAAGCAATCAGAATGAAATATAGAAACATGAATAAAACAGTTGAATGATCATAATTGCTTCTCACTATCATGTCAATTGTAATAATTAATATAACGATGTGCATATTTATCGATAACATATTTCCAATTGACAATTAGTGAGGTCGAATATAATAAACAACATTTTTATTTTAAACAACTTAGAGAAAAGAACAAAAAAAAAGAATGAAAAAACTTATTCAGATTCAACAGCTTCTTGATAAGTGGTTAGCGAGATAGATTCAACAAAAATATTTTCATTCTCGAATTATTGACTTTGATTATAAATAGTTTTTTTTAAATTAAAGACGAACCTGAAATAGAATATTAAGAAAAATGCTTTGTCTACAAAGTTTTAATGATTTAAATGTTAAAAACTACATTTAAAACGCATGTACCCAGGTCGAACAATCCGGCAAGAAAACAGCCGGTTCCAGGGTTTTCCTGGGATTTCATGGAAGCAGTATTCCGGGACGAAATTCTCCGGATTTTTCCGCTTTCTTTCTTGTCATTTCCGACCGAAACAGGAGGGAAATTCAAGGAAAAAATCGGACAATTTTGATTTAAAATCCGAATATTCGGTTCCTCAACGGAAACGATTGCAACCGACTTGGTTCCCAACAGATTTTGTACGTTCAATTTCCGTACGGCTTCCCATCGACGTTTCCGAGTTACTTCCCGTCACCTCCTGAGCCTGGAAACAGTCTATGGTTACAGTATGCGTATTCGCCAGGGTGCCCCGCTTGTGTTTCAACAACTTAAACTAACAACAGAGCCGGGATCATATCTTACCACCCTAGGCGAACCTTTTTTATCATGCACTTGACCTGCATAGACCTCAAGTTTTGCCCATAGCGCATGACTTTCTTGATCAAGATTCTCAAGTATCTCCTGCGCAGACCAAAAGAAGTTCGTCTAGGGCAGGTTCCCAGTTGTTCCCGAACTTCAGCTTCGTCCATCCAAAATGCCAAACGAATGTGGTTTCCAGCGCAATCCTCCCAATCCCATGATACTAGTGACGTAAAGTTTGTTACTCGTTCCCTTTATTGCCAGGGAACGAACACCTACTCAGCGCTATACAAAAAGAGAAAAACCCTCCCGGAATCTGATTGGTCCATTTTTCGACCAATCAGATTCGAGACAAGGTCAGTATTCAGCAGGGTTGCCA